GTTTATTCATAAGAAACGGAATATCAAGACGAACGGATTCAGACTAGTTCGCCTCTCTAAAAATTAATGCCCGCTAATGAGAAGTCTCTCTCCGTTGGTGCACTTGATGCTGGGGTGGAATGCACGAACTGCGCTCGAAGAATGAGGTGCGGAAACTTGTGCTAGCTCAAGATTCACGTGCCCTTCCAGAGGATCAAATTCAGTCAGTCTCCTCGATGTACTTGTAGGTGAAAAAGCCGCTTGCAGGCTTCTACTTTCTTTTGGCTTGTACGTATTGGGTTTTATTTTCCCTGAGAACATTTTCCGCTCTTTCGCATTACAAAAAAAAAAATGATTTGAGTTTCAATTGAAAGTGTAAAGGACTCACTCAATAGACCGCATTCAGTCTCAATTGAAACTCAATTGACTTTTTCTAATGAGTCCCTATTGAACCGTACCAGGGTATTGGCCACTGAGTCTTAATTGAATTTTCAGCAATTGCGTTTCAATTGAATTTTGGCAATAATGTTTCAGTAGAAATTTTTCTATTGAATTTCAATAAAAATATTGCAATTGAGTGTCAATTGAATGTTTGCAACGCCTTTCAATAGAATATATTGCAACTGCGTTTAAAAAAAATTGCAACTGGTTAAGAATTTTTTCTGTATAATTCGATAAAGCATGCAACATGACGGAAACAAAGCACATGGAGGAAACGAACACATACATCATAACTAAGCGCTCGCAACTCACTAATTATACTCACCTTGACTACACCAGCGCTTTATATACCCTACATAACTAAGTTATTCATTTGGTAGGTGACTACCTCAGCATTTATTAAGGTACCCAGTTTGCTATTTCCCCCTTGGAAGTCTCATAAATGATAAACAGTGTTTCGACGTCATTGAACTCTATCCCTTAATAGAAAAACATTGGTACAAGCAATAATCGTTCGGTGCAGTAACCCACAAACGACCTAACTCAATTGCATTCCTAGTGAGTAAATTCAATAGAATCGATATTGAGTTTCTTATGACCAAACTGAATTGCATTCCTAATTAGTGAATTCAATAGGATCGATATTGAGTTTCTTATTACCAAACTCAATTGCATTCCTAATGAGTAAATTCAAAAGAATACATATTGCATTTCTAATGAGCAAACCCAATTTCATTCTTAATGAGCAATTTCAAAAGAATATATATATTGAGATCTTAATGACCAAACTCAATTGCATTCCTAATGAGTAAGTTCAATAGAATCGATATTGAGTTTCTTATTACCAAACTCAATTGCATTCCCAATGAGCAAATTGAATAGAATCGATATTGAGTTTCGTATGACCAAACTCAATTGCATTCCTGATGAGTAAATTCTATAGAATCAATATTGAGTTTCTTATGACCAAACTCAATTGCCTTCCTAATGAGTAAATTCAATTGAATCGATAATGAGTTCTTAATGACCAAACTCAATTGCATTCCTAATGAGTAAATTCAGTAGAATCGATATTGACTTTCTTATGATAAAACTCTATTGCATTTCTAGTGAGTAAATTCATAAGAATTGATATTGAGTTTCTAATGATCAAACTCAATTGCATTCCTAGAGAGTAAAGTCAACAGAATCTATATGGAGTTTCTTATAATCAGTCTCTATTGCATTCCTAATAAGTTAATTCGATAGAATCAAAATTGAGTTTCTAATGATCAAATCAATAGATGTTGAGTTTATATGGAGTTTCAATTGACTGTATTAGGAACACAATATAAAGTCAATTGAAACTTTTTGATCATTTTTGTAAGGATCCCTGCCAAACAAGAACATGCTTTCCCGGGACTACTGATGCTCCTGCATTCCTTACCTTTTCTAGGGACAGCATTTTTGGCGTGATGTAATGTTCTAAAGCGATCTTTGGGGATAATCAAATCTCGCTTGACGTAAAGGACAATTTTCTCCTCGATCGGCACCTTGTATCTAAGAGAGTACTTTGCCCCCGCAATAAATTTGATGATGCACCCCCCTTCATAGTATCACTTACTTATTTTCAGTCTACACTGTGCGGTCGCACAGGGTTATGGGCCGCCTCGGCAAAAATGTAGACCGGGACCCGCGGATATCTGCATCCGATCCGCAGTCCGCCAAGTCCGATTCATTTTTATCCGCATCCACCAGTTTACTGGGAATATCTGCGGATGATCCGCGGGTAATCCTCGGATATGCAGGGCTCTATAGGGTGAGCCTCCGATCCACGACGTGGAGCTCATGCGTCGAGCCTCGCCTCTTTCGGACTTCCGCCGTCCTCGATGGAACGGGCGCGCTTGCTCACCGACGGTGCCACCGCCGCTGCAAGGAGATCTCAGACCCCCGCAGCAGCGCTCTCGCACCCTGTTCGGGGAACGCGTAATCTCAGTCTGCGTTCCAAGTGGCGTTCTCTGTGCACTGTCGAAAGACGGTCAGTGTAAAGGCACCGAATGTGTGCAGCACGGATGTATCGGAGGCGCGGGTTTATGCAACGCTCCCCATGCATATCGAAACTGTCTGACGGGGGAACTGTACTCGGGACCAATTACGACTCGTGTCGTCGAGTTAAAAAAGAATTGTTTTGAAGACGAACGTTAAAATAGTCGTTGTCAAAAATAAAACCCGAAAACGAAGGACCCGGTGTTTAGTGACCGTAATACGAGCATGCCCAGATTTTGTTTATAAAAGTGACGAGTAAGTGACAATCAGAAAATTATCTGAAAATGTAATGAATTACAATTGTAACGGCCCAAGTCTGATCAGGAGCGACTTGCAGGCCTGCCGCGCTTCCTGAGCATCGGGGGCGTCGGGCGGCTCCCGCCGGAAGGCGATGCAAATCGTCGCTTTGAACCCGTTCGATGGTTGTTACAGAGGCGCGCCCCCTCCCTGTCCCACACCCTGGACTAAGCTGGCTGGGGTAATGAACGGTTCCCGGCTCTGCGCGGCAAAGAGCGGAGTGGCCATTTTGACTCGCATGTTTTTGTCCCACGGCATCGCTTGGCGTCCACGGGAATAGAGAAGTGACGTGGATGTTTCAGACTAATTTTATTTTCTTCGGAACCCTCTTGAATAATGGAGCCTAAGGGTGAGATCCAAGTGAGATAATGGAGAGTTTTAAGGAGCGGTCTTTGGGCGTCCGATACCGTGCCGAGCCGTTGGTGTTGCTTTGTTTGTTGTCCACGGGCACGCCTCTGTTTATGTGGGTCGGGGGAGCTTCTGTGCGGTGCAGAGAAATAGCCTGGTCTCAGCGGACGAACAAACAAGGAACGCCGCTCGGCGATAAAACAAAGTACGGTTTTTCGGCGACGCGAGCAATCTCCAGCAGTATCGCTGGTGGATCTCTTCCGCATAAAGATGGTACCTGGCGGTGGGCGCGCAAACTCGCTTTGGAGGAACGTCCCTGCTGCTTTGCACACTAAGCCCGCTTTTGGAGCTGCCGACGCAAGTGTCTGCGGCCGTTTCCTCCGCTCTGCATGCGAGCGTTCGTCGCTAGGTGGAAAGAAAGCTCTCGCGCACGCGAGGAACTCTTCTCGAAGAAAGTCCCCGATCCAACCTGTTCTTCCGTCGGTGGTTGATGCCATTCAATCGTTGGTAGCGATCCTCTTTGGTATGTGCCTCGCGAGCGGTCATCCTTGAATAACCACGCAGGGCTAGAGCTCTCTCCTGTGTCTCGCGAGGAACACATATCTCCTCACCGCCAGGGTGGGAAGGGCAGCGAGGTCCTTCAGTCCTCCACCACGAGCGCCCTCGAGAACAGTGTCTCGTGAGCCTCGAGTGTACACCCGCCGGCAATATGAAGGTGAACACCTTACCTGGTTTCTTGCCTGTTTTACGGCTCCCTAAAGCTATATTAACTCTCAACGTCACAAATGGGACGTGGCTTGGGGTCTAAACCTTGCGTTCTAGAGCTCTTCTGGAACAGAGCTTGTTCCAAAACTTGCAGGAGGGTCAAAACAAGAAGAGGGCTGTTCACCTTCATATCGCTCACGGGGTGTACACGGGCAGCCAAAGCACGGCGGAAGGCAAGAAACGGGTAGACTTGTACTCGTCTCATCCTGTCAGTCAATATATATTTAGATTAGTAAACGTGACGCTACGGCTCGAGCGTATACATGTGCAAGCACAGCGCTGTGTACTGCTCATCTTTACCTCGTTCGTGTCCAGTTGCGATGTTTTACCCCCACATGTTTATTAACCAACTAGCCGAAACAGATCTTTTAGCAAGCACTTGCTGCATAAGCCCACTTTTGCAAGTTTTGCAAGCGCATGTCCTTGCCGTGAGCAAATACTTGGAAACTGCACATTGATTTATTTCCCGTTTTCTAAAGTATACCTATGTCCCACCCAGCAGTGTTGTAAGCGTTGCTAAAGAAAAAGTAACGAACTACGTTAATCGTTACTTGCAAATAAAAGGAACGCGTTACCGACCTTTGTTACCTCAAAATAAAAGGGACGCGTTACCGTTACCAAAGTAAGGCACGTGACTCTTTTTTTATTTTTTTTTTATTTATAAACTGACAATAACAGTGTTTTTTTGTTTTTTGTTTTTTTTTTTTATAGAAGGGGGGGGGGGGGGGGGGGAGGGGCACAGCGTTTTTCATCACTGGAGCAAAGGGCGTCGACGTTAGGGTTTTTCTAAACTGGGACTTTTTGCGCGGGGAAGAGAGAGCCGAAGTTTTGACGGTATGTGGAATGAATGCAATGATTAATGGCTTGGTGTCTATACTTGGTATCAGCTTAAGTCCACACGCAGCCGACGCTACGAGCTAATGGGACCAATCAATGAACGTCAAAAGCGCAAGTCACTGGGCCTTCTCTGTTTATGATTGGTTCAGCGATGATAGAGCAAGTACGGAAACATGAGGAACACCATGACGGTGCCTTTTTGACGCCGTATGATTGGTCCCATGAGCTCGTCGCGTCGGCTGCGTCTGGACTTCAGCTCAAAGGAAGTATTGAAACACGAAAAAAAACTAAAGTGTACTTTTTTGCAGGTTTTGGGAAGAAGATGTAACGAGTAACGTGAGTACGTTACCCGTTACTGTTTTGGAAAAGTAACAAGTACGTTACTACGTTACCGAAAAAAGAAAAAAAAAAACCAAAAAAACAGCGGGTTATAGGCAACACTGAGTTCCACTAAGGGGCGGTTGCAGAAGACACTCATTAACAGCGGACATGGAAGCACATTCTTTCCTGGAGCTGTGCACCCTCAACCTCGTATATAAAAAGTGGCATTCATGTACCTTTCCTTCTAGCTAACCACCTTCACTGCTGCCTGCGCCGCCGTCTCGAGGATATTGGATGTCGCTGTGCCGTATAGTCCGTCATTGGTTCCATCAATGTGCGGGTTCAGCCTTGTTCGGGGCGGCCAGACCGACTTTTGAGGGACGATATATTGCATAGGGACCAGGTCGATGTTGACGAAAATCGCGGCGCATCAGACAAAGCTCCGCGAGCCCCCTGGCTCCGCGGGCTTGCAAAATCCGCGCCAAATGAACCCGCGAGGTTTACCAATCGGATCGGCGCAATGAAGGCCACGGCGCCCGACAACTGCACTTGGTTGGCTGTCGTTTCTGCTTCGTTCACCGAGAAGGAGTCAACGGGAGTTGGAAAGTTTTCCTCTTGATTTTCGTCTTCTTCGAGCGCTCACGTTTGAAAGGGTGGCTCAACCGCAACTCGACTCTTCTGGCGAAGGAGGATTTGGATTCCGAACAGCGGCGCCGGCCGCGCACTGCTCGCGCGAGATCCTCGGGACGGACGGACCAGGTTGAGCGGAAGTTGAGTGCGGATCACCGCTGAGCACGCACGTGGGCAGGGCACGCACGACAAGGGTGCAGACGCTCCCATGCTAGGAGGTTGGCTAACTTCGCCTCGGGCCATCTTTTGCTCGCGGCAGATTCTATCGCTCGCCAAATCTTGTTTGTTTCGCGTGACGAGTGGCACGGCCATTGTACGCCGCCGGACCCACGTTTGGGCGAGGACGGCGGCGTGGTTATGCGCCATTGCGAAACCCGTTGCCGCCGAAGACGGCGAATAAACTCGCCGAAGAGAGTACACGGTTCGAGAAAGGGGTGGTTAACCGTTGGTATAGCTTCTTCCGCGCGGTGCCATTCGAGGCCCAGGGGGAGCATTCCGATTGACTCGCCTGGGCACCGGGGCATTCACTCGGGCGGCGGCTGGATCTAACGCGGCTCGCTCGCTCGCGCTTAGATTGACCCTTCGGGAAAGGAAGAACTTTGCCAGCGTCGAATCGCGTCTCTAGCGGCGGACTGCAGCCGTTCTCTCTGTCGGACTGCAGGAAGCCTCAAGTGGCGGCGGCCGCAAATGCAAATCTAGTGCTCGCGCCAAAACGGCCGATAATTTCACCGGAACAACAGCGAGCGACCGACGTCGTTCTCCACGGGCGGCGTTCGCTTTTTCCTTTTCTTTATATTCCGCGTTTTCGTCCAGGTGCCCTCGACGCGCAGGAATACAATGAGAATGGTTTGCGGTCGGAAAAGAATGAACCGTCCTATTTTCCTTAAGCGTATTCGGGCTCGGTGGCCGCCGCCGGAGCGCCAGACGGCGCTCGCCGAATGATGACCGCGGAAGGGGCGACCCCCCTTCGAAGGACGAGAAATCGAAGGACAGCGCCGACTGCGTCGCCAAACGAGTCCGCTTTCTTCGGCGTCCGCCGGCGCCTTGGTCGGTCGACCGCGCGCTTTGACAGGAAGGTGGGGCTCGGCTTTATCGTGGGGAGCGGTCACCGCCGGGGGCGCCTCTGGCGAGCCCAGCCATTGTCCCGCTGAGAGAGAAGGAGCTTCCTTATGCAATTATTACGCACCCTTTCGCCCATCGTGACTCGGGGGGATTAGCCTCCCTTCGGCCCGAATCGAACTATTTTTAAATGATAATTGCCGCCGATAACAGCGACCAGTCGCTGCAGCAGCTCTGCGCCGCGCGGGGCTGCCTGTGCACGCGCGCGCACCATTCAGATTATCTTCGTCGATTCTGCATGCGGACGGAGTGCTAAACGATGCGAAACAATTACGCGCCCAGAAATCGGGCACAAAGAAGCGGCGACGAATTTCGGATAGACAAAGGTCTGGGACGTATTTCTTATTTATTTACGTATTTATAATTATTTATTTATACATACCTTTTTTTTTTTTTTTTTGTTTGGGGGGGGGGGGGGGGGGGGCTTGAGTTTAGTTTTTGGTTTTTGGAAAAAAGTTACAAAAGCCTTCCGCATTTGAACTAAAAGCTGCAATATTCGTGTTAAGGGCATTCTTCGGCCAGAGATGGCGACATCTATATAGCTTCGCTGATGATTGAGCAAGCAGCTCCGGAGTCGACTTCGAATTTTAGCTATTTGTTTTCAATCCTCAGCGTCACCATAAACTTTGGCAGCGTACTCGATGCTCTAACCACATTCAGCTCGTGCAGGCTTCATAGCGTATCCGAATGATTATCGTCAAAATCAGGTAGCTTACCTGGCTGATCGAGGCAGGGTCTCGTCCGCGATCGCATCCTCGTCCCTAATTATTAAGTATCCCAGGCAAGGACTCAAGCTCGGCGTAGACAAGCGTCCGGACGTTACTTTAATGGCGCCTGGAATGCCAGTCTCGTGGCCCAGAATCGGTGCACCAGTCCCGTGCTCTTGAAAGCGCGGGAGTCCGCTCACGCCATATCCTGGCCACCCAGCCGGTACATTACAATTCGTAATCCATGTCAAAAAAAAAAAAAAAAAAAAAAAGCAGGAGTTCTTCTTAGTATGATAAATTAGTTTTAATTGACTTTGTGATGCATTCCTATAGAGTCAATTGAAACTCAATATAAACTCAACGTCTAATGAGTTTGATCATAATAAACTCAATATCGTTTATCTAGAATTCACTCATTAGGAATTGAAGTGACTTTGGTCATAATAAATTCAATATCGATTCTATCTAATTGTCTCATTTGGAATGCAATTGAATTTGGTAATAAGAACCTCAATTATATTTTATTGAATATACCCATTAGGAATGCAATTGAGTATGGTCATTAAGCACTCAAATATATTCTTTTGAATTTACTCATTGAATTCAATAGCCATTCATTGGACTTTACTTATTAACAATGCAATTGAGTTTACTGATTATGAACTGAATATTTATTCTTTTTAATTTGCCCTTTAGATATGGAAACGAGCTTTATCATCAAGACCTCAATATCGATTATTTTGAATTTACTTATTAGATTTGCGAATGAGTTTATTATTAAGAGCTGAATATTGATTATTTGAAGTTTACTCAATGGATATACAAACGAGTTTCGTCCTTCATTATTTTGAGCTCAGTCACTAGACATGCAATTGAGTTTCTTTACTTGACATATATTTATTTGTCATTCAAACGAGTTTTTATCATGAGTAGTTGACATCAGCTGGTTCGCGCTTTTTGCTGTTGAGGAACTCAGCAAGGGCACAGCTGCAAATAACCATGAGTGCACTTATGTCTCACAAAATAAGCATATTTGCTCATATTCCTTTGTGCAAGAAATGAAATCGAAAACTTTTGGCACCTTCGAGATCATCGCGTATATTATAACAACTCTAAGGTCACTGACAAGGTGAGAACAACAACCCAAGAAGGAGCTTCACTTCCCTCCCCTCAAGCTTGAGTCTCCCCCTCAAAAACGCTTCAATATATCGTGCAGACAAAAGCGCGCGTGCTCTGTCAAAGCACGGTGGAAGGCATGGAGCGCGTGCTGAAAGCCGGGTGTTTGAAATACACGCCATGCCGTTCTCACGCTGTCCGTTGCTATAGCGACATTATTGAGCCTATTGTACTAGTCACTTCGTAAAGACAAGAAGCAATACAATATTTTAAAGCGAGCAACTACCGTGCCTCGTCTTGTGCTGAGTGGTGCTTTGCAGAGAAGCGATAACATAGCGGCTACGAATCGCTTATGTGGATTCAGCGCCTGCACTGAATGATTATTGCTTGTACCATTTTTTTTTTATTAAGGGTTAGAGTTTAATGACGTCGAAACACTGTTTATCGTTTATCAAACTTCCGAGGAAGGGATAGCATACTGGGAACCTTAATAAATGTTAAGCTTGTCGCCGGCCAAATGAATACCTCTCATATGTAGTACAGACAAAGTCAGAACAGACAATATGGAAAGTCTGAGTAATAGCTTTATTGTACTCGTTCGATGATATATTATTCATACAAAAATGGAAAGTAACGACAAAACTAACGTCGTTACATTCATCGTTACCTGAGTGAAAATAATAAAACTACAGTTACAAGTTACATTTTGAAAAAGTAACTCGCTACAGTCAGAAGTTACGAAAAAGTAACACAATTACAGTTACGCGTTACTAGTAACGCGTTACGACGATATATTATTCATACAAAAATGGAAAGTAACGACAAAACTAACGTCGTTATATTCATCGTTACCTGAGAGAAAGTAATAGAACTACAGTTACAAGTTACATTTTGAAAAAGTAACTCGTTACAGTCAGAAGTTACGAAAAAGTAACACAATTACAGTTACGCGTTTCTAGTAACGCGTTACGACGATATATTATTCATACAAAAATGAAAAGCAACGACAAAAGTAACGTCGTTATATTCATCGTTACCTGAGAGAAAGTAATAGAACTACAGTTACAAGTTACATTTTTAAAAGTAACTTGTTACAGTTAGAAGTTACGAAAGAGTAACGAAATTACAGTTACGCGTTTCTAGTAACGCGTTACTATTCAAGACTTGTATATACTAGAGAGAGAGAGGTAGGCGTTTATTAAACAATGATGTCAACCAGCGCCTGGTGCTGGTTAGCTACATTGTAAAATGAACGGAAGCGAAAATCATAAAGATAGAAGAGAGAAAGGTAAACAGAAAAAGATAGAGGGAGAAAACACACAAAACCAAAGTATTAAAAACTAAAAAAAACTAACAAAAATGTTTCACTGGAAATTGTCCTCGGCCATTGCTGTTCATCTACTCCCCTACAGTTTCTTCTGTAAGCGAGTAGCTGCTAGAAATTTCA